TCTATATAATCAATTAAATTGTAAGGTCATACATTACCTCTTCCTTGGATATGTAAGTACCACCGTCTTTAACACGAATTCCTGTCTTAACGTAATTAAATTTCCTACCATATAATTCCAAAAATTCTATTAATAGCACCCCAAGATTAGCATTTGAACAGTAAGCATTTTGTCTGGGATGTAACTGAAACGAAAATTTTTCTATGTGGTAGGAAGATTAAGTTTTAATTTCTGATATATAGAATGAATTATTTTTTATCAATCAATGATCAGCGTATTAAATTTATAATATATATCTTTCTAGTTTTACGATTACTCTAGCATTGTGAACTTAAAGAAATACAGTAAAAACGTACCTGTAAAAAACTGATAGTCATAAGTATTAAACTGTATGAAGAAATCCCACCAGTAAAAACTTCATTCAGGTCTCTTTGTAACAAGAATTGTTTTAATACCATAACTAGTTTCTCCAGCACAGGATACCGCTTCTTGAAAGAATTAATCAATTCTGCAGATTTGACACCATTATTCATATTAAAACTGATATCTACTTTAATTTCAGTTTCTTTATCAGTTAACTTGACAATTGGAACACTAGCTTTGTCCAAAACTTTAATAGATGATGGTTCAGCAATATTTTGATCCAGTAAAGCACGTTCCAAAGTACGCAATGGAAGATCATTCCACATTCCTATTACTACTAAATCTATATCACTGAAAGAAAAAAAATGAATTGCTTGTATTTATACTGTTTAAAAATACATATAAGATACCAAATAAATTATATTTTTTACATTATAAAACAATTATTATTATTTAAATTATATGTGAAACTTTTAATCAAATGTAGGCATATTATGACATAAATTTAACTTATATCAATAACAAAATTACAATAAACATTTTCATGAGTTACTACATTCAATAGATAAATTAATTTAATACGAATTATATATTTGACATGTATATACATTACTAAATACGTTTTGTTTTAAATATGTACAATGATACGTACCTTGTAGGTAAATATAAACCAGTGCGAAAGCTGCCAAATACTTCAACCTTAGATTCTGGCCAGAGATCATAAATTACTTGTTCTATCCTTTTGACAACACGCATTCGTAAGTTATGTTCTTCATTA